TTGGACAGCAAGTGCAATAAGTTCCATAAGCAAACCTGTCTTTCCAGTACCGGGAGGGCCTTGGACAATCAGAAAAGGCCGCTTCTTATTTAAACCTAAGGCAATTGCCCTTTTCTGAGAAACATCAAAAGTTCCATTCTTCATCTGTCCATTCAATTTCACTTCTGCCCAATCTGCTATATCATTCTCTTCCAGCCATGAAACATCTTCCTTGTCTCCAAATAGTGTAGCCACTACAGCAATCGAAGGATTTTTCTTATGCAAACCACTCTTCTGAAGCAGCATCAATGCTTCACAATTGCGCTGTAAGCAAAGAGAGACACCATCACGAAAAAAGAGGCAAATTTAAACCAAACCAAACCTAAAACAGGCATGTGTCTTATAATAGGCGGCAAAATGGTACAACACTGCAACCTTATGTACCAGAAAAGTGGGAATTTGATACTAAAAAAAAAAATAATAATAATATTAACCCAGGATTAGTTTATCATACTATCAAGCTTGCTCTTTTCATTTATTCAGAGAGTAACTACCTCACTTGACTGTTTGAATCTTCACTGGGCTTTGTGGGAAATCTTTATCCAATTTATATAATGATGTGTTTAGGTAACAGTTACAGTATAGTCTAATTTAAAATATTAAATAATATTTTTACAAATTTTCTGACAGAAGCAAGATTATATAGTTAATAATCTTCCAATATGCTTAATTTACTGATACCTGAACTCTCACTAAAGGTCAACGATTCGTAGTAATACAAGTTGTACAAACCACTCAGGTTTCAAGATTGTGGGATATTTAAAGTAGCTAATTCATACGACTTAACAGGACTACTTTAAAACAAGGATCCATTGATAGATATGATATTTTAGATGGCCAGGAAAATAATAACTGTCCACCAGACTTTTCAGAATGCACATATTACTTAGCAAAACAAAATTGTCTATTTCTAATAATATCTTTGCAAATTACACAACTAAATATTCACACAACCCAACAAATTAAATTAGGTTGATAGTACACAAAGGCAGAAAAAATATAAGCTTTCCATATATTTTGAGGTCTATTCAGTATAACCCCCAAACAAGTTCCACAGTGACTTGTCTTTCCTTAGCATGATTGGTTTAAAGGAAAAATGTTGTAGTATGGCAGAAAAATATAAAATAAATGATTAATAAAATTTTGACTGTTACCAAACTATGTTCTGGTTCAAAAAAAATTTAGGAAAATTATACTCATCCATTCAAGGCCCAAAATTGGGGTTTGCTAAACTTCTCACACACTAATTTTGTCAAGATTATAGCTTTCTTTCTTTCTTTCATTCTTTTACTTTAAAATAATCTTTCATATTGTTTCTTACCTTAGAGATTTAAAATCACTTTGAAGATGCAGATACATACAGTTAATCTACATAAAAAAAAAAATCCAGATTCCCTAATCATACAGAACACTTACCTTTTCATTGGAAAAAAGAATGTAATTTATTAGTAAGGTGAATCCAGAACAACAGTGAAGCAAAATTAGAAGAGTAAGGTATCTAAGACAAACAAGGGTTAAAGCTAATAAACCTGCACCAAGAAGAGTTAATAAATAAAAGGAACAAGAGGCTAGCAAAGACATTGCTGAAAATCCAGCTCATATAGCTTGAGTGATGTAAGAACTTATGTATTAAACAACTGTTATAATTCTGGAGGTTAGAAGAGGCCATGGCATGGAAAGCATAAAAAGAGCAGGCCATAAAGTGAGTATCAAGAAAGCAGATGAAAACTCTCAGCAGTATGATTTAATGTGATTTAGAATAAGATTGCCCATTTTAAGCCACTTTTGCCATGTTCCCTTCTCACCGAGAGGGAATTATTGAAGACATGAAATCGCATTTTCTAAATTACCATGAGAGAGACTTTGGAACATGTAATAGTCACTACAGGTAAGGCCTTATACTATTTAAGTTGCACCTTAAAGAAACTTAAGAAGCTCTTGGGTTGTAAAACTAAAATCTTTATCTATATGCAATGCATAAACCAAGAGTTACTGACAGACTCCATTCATTAGGTACCTCATAAGTGAGTGTATCAGCCAATCCTTGGATACGATCAATACGCACACTCTTGCCAAAAAGCTTAGAGAACGTGGGATCACCATGACGAGATTCAAGAGCCACACTGATGCTACTGCCATCTTCCCCAAGATTGTGAACGAAGCCCTGCATGCAGGAAGTGGCACCTGCACCCCTGCTATCACAAATCCTCACACATACCATGTCTCCAGGAGAAAGGGTGGTAGGTGGCAATCGGTGATTACCTTCAACCCTAAACAACACCAAATGCATTCCTCCTAGACCTGTACAAAACCAATTCACACCACATGATAAGCTAAAATTGATCATTAAGCACGCTAGCTAGCAATTTACAAGCACAGATAACATCCCAATCAATAAAATATCTGATCAATATCACACTGAAGAAAAAATTGTTCATGGTAAAGATAAATTGTTGAGAACCTGTGGATGTGCTAACTGCATACAAATTACAGATGGTGTCACATAGTTCTTGTTGAGCTCGCCCATGGCTAACCAAAAATTCAATCGGCTTCGAAGAATCAGAAGTCTCATCAGGAGTAGGAACAGCATTCAGCTCCTCCTGTGTGAACTCCAGTTCCGCATCCCTCTCTATGCGAAGTAATTCTGACATCCGATTTGAAAACTCATCAATTCTTTCCTGTATAGTCTTGACCCTCTTCAAATCCATTCCCAAAACACCTTGCACAGGCTTTGGTTGCGTAACCTTGCGAACCATAGCTCTATGCTGAGCTGCAAATGCACCATACTAATTTCATGATTCATTGGTAAACCCAATCTCATTCTCAATCAACAAAATGCTAAGCTAATGTTTTAATCTAACAATAAAAGTAAGTACCAGAAAAAAGGTACCTGAATTGGCAAGCTCCTTAAGGAGTTTCCATGATTGAGTTTGATGCCATTGTTGAACCACAGATTTGTTTTGTAGTAGTTGTAAAACATCCCTGAGTTCTCTCTGGAAGTGATCAAAGAGAGTTGGATAATGAGTGCAAGCCTTTAAACAAATGGCTTCAAGACCAAGAGGCATTGGAATAGCATTTAAATAAGGTTGAGCCTGTATTACAAAAGTAAGACCAGGACCCATTCTCTGTCTCAGCTCAGAAAACTCTCCCTCTCCCTGAACCTCTGCAGAAGCAAAATCTGAAGCCATTGCTCGCATTCCTTGACTTATCCATTTAACAACGCTCTTACCAAGATCTTTTCTCCCCAACGGATCCCCATTTTGATATAAAGTTCCAACATTCACTGTCTTGCTCCTCTCTGGCGTCTCTTTAATTGATCTTTCAACTATAACATTTGCATTGACATTACTAGTTTTAGTGTTGGAAACTCTTGATTTCGTAATAAAATTGGTTTTGTTGCGAGGCTGCTTAGGTTTAGGCTTTTTCTGGGTGCTACTAGTACTGTCGTTGCTGCAAATGAAACGATGTCGTTCTTGTTGTTGGCGTCCAATGAATAAACATATAGATCGAAAAGAAGAAGAGAAGGAGAAGTGTAAGGGAGGATTTGCAGCATTGACAGCAAATGTAGTTGTAGGGATGCTTCTGCTTCTGCTTCCGCAAAAACCGCATGAGGCTACTTCCATTTTCAGTTGTTAATGCTGATTTGATTTTCGTAATAAATGGAACTCATCGTTTTATTTCAATTTCATGTTGAAAAATTAGAGCCGCAAACAACAATATGAGGTGAGAGGAGGAGAGGAAGGGAGGGAGGGATTTTTATTAAATATGATAGTTTCAAAAGTAATAGAAAGTCGTTGTCAGAGACAGAGGAGGAGATCAGCAAGTTGAAGTGTGATTGGTTAAGTGTGATTCTGTACCACGGGCTGTTTGGTGGCTAACGTGTTTAAATTCTGATTTCTAATCCTTTCCTTTTGCTTCCTTTTGTTAGGGTAGACGTGCTTCATTTCTCACCATCAAAATATACGAGTTAACATTTCAAAGTCAACATTCTGTCTCTAGAAACTTCCCATATTCACTCTATAATCTCTCCTTTACAACTAAGGATCGGACTTTGATTCGTCTCGCCATCTGAAAACGGGATGAAATTTGCAAGATATACAGTAATAGCATTTTCTTTTTTCTTTTTAAGTATTGAGATACTCTAGTGTAGATCTTGAAAAGGAATACAAATGCTTAAAAATGATGTCCCTTGTTGACTACGAAATAAAATACAACTACGGAACACATATTATACATAAGGCTCGCATGTAATTGATTTATTGATCTTCTTCAAAAGGCTATTATTATTAGACTACATAGATCTTAACTTTTGGCTTATATTTAATCTAAAAGTAATGTTATATCAACAACCTTTATTCACAAACTTTTTCTCACAACCTTGATATGGTAGCTCGTAATTAATCAACCGCAATTTATCAAATGAGACCCATTAAGAGCTGACCAATTGCGAATTGTCACGTTGGAGTTGTAAAAGGAAGTTTGTGAGAAGAGGTTGTGGGTATAGTATTTTCCTTAATCTAAACAATTTCTCTATTATTACCAATTTATATATAATTTCACTTAATGTTTCCACAATTATATATATATATGCAATGAGGCTGGCTGTGAGTTTGAGCTCAAATTGAAGAATCTGAGGTTTGTATCTCTTTTTCCACTTCCAACTTCGGTGAGTCATGGCAAACTCAAATTTGGTTAGATGTGGATGACTTGTGAGCAGCGGTGCTTGAATTTTGTTATGTAATTGTTGGCGCTAGTGATCTACATATTTAGAGCTTTAAAGTTTTGTTATGCTATGCCAAACCAGTCCTTTCCTCCTACAACATCCTCACTTGAGCCCAATGCAAATCCACTTGACCCTCCACACCTACTCCATCACCTCCTGCACAGCCACCTATCTCACCACCACCTCCTCAAAATACATCTCCACCCCCATTGACATCTACACCTTCTCCCCCTCCTCCTCAACAATCCATTTCACCTACATCACCACCACCATCTCCAACTGTATCTAATCCACCAACCATTTCATCTCGACCACCACCACCACCAGCAATAGCATCCCATCCACCAATGAGTTCATCGCCCCCACCACTGCTAGTATCTAATCCACTAAGGAGTTCGTCGTCGCCATCACCACCACTAGTATTTACTTCACCAACGAATTCCCCTCCACCACCACCAGTGGCCAATCCACCAACAAGTATTCCTCCACCATCAAATTCATCTCCATCACCACCATCTAATCCACCAAAATCTTCACCTCCACCACAAACACCATCTACCCCAAATAAGTTCTAATCAAACTCTTTCTCAACCTGCTTCGGACGGGGCTCCTTCTGCTTCAAAGCCATCTCAAAAACCTTGTCTTTCTCAATCTATTCCTAGAAAGAAAGCAAAATACCTTGTCTTTCTCAAATCTCAACGATTGGCCAGATTTGCAAAAGAAGAAAAAGGAGAAGTAGTTGGCCAAAGAATTAAGAAAAAGAGAGGAGAATGGATGGAAGAGAAAAAGAAGAAAAGGAGAAGCGATTAGCCGGATCTGCAAAAGAGAAAAAAAATTGAAGATGAGGAAGAGAAGAAGAAAGAAAAAAGAAGAAAGTAGACGGAAATTTCTGCAAAATTATCACATTGTCCTTCTTCAAACTAAATTCACTAACAGATTCTGATGGAAAGTAGTTGTTTGTCATTTCCAAACTTTTTAGGTACCAAATTGTTTTTACGGCAAACTAGGGGTGGATGCATGTTTTTCGGCCATGAAAAAACAAGGAAAGTTCATTCTCTCGCTACTATTACAAAGGATATTCTTTAGAGTCTTTTATTTAATAATACACAAAATGGGGTAATTTTGAGGGCTGACAAGTCCAATGTCATAGGGATAGTCTAGTTTTTAAGGTCTAAGTAACTAGTTCGAAGCAATGCTTTGGACTAGGAGAAATACATTCAAATTGACTTGAATGTCGGAAGGTTCTTGTAGACGTTAAAATCTACGGTTATGAAAAATGGTCTCTGATCCTATGAGGTTGAGGCCACTAGCAATCCGCTGCACCTGCACACACAAAGAAACAGGCGTGAAGTGAACGGGAAACACTAGGGTGGTGTTTGCTATAGGCACTCCGACACTCAAGTTAGCAAGGCTGAATGAGGCTAATTTAGTAAGGGTAAGGGAAAGAGAGGGTTACCGAAAGTTTAGTCAGAGACTAGACATACGACGGTGGTGTATAGCTCTCAAGGGTGAGAACTAGGGGGTTTGAAGGTGTAATGTTGAATGAATTGTTATAGGGCAGACCTCTATTTATATAGTAATAGTAGGATCTCTGAATCCTAGTAGGACTATGAGTCCATAATGGTTGAGGTTTAGTGAACAGGAAAGTCTTAATTCACTTGCCTTAGTAGGGGAAAGAGTCATATTTAGTCTAAGATTCGGATCTTAGACGAATTAAGATATAGATGGATCTCTTTGAGAGAATTTGAATAGTACCGAAATAGGAAGTAGGTAGCTTTAGGGTCTAGCTTTAGGGTCTAAGTAAACCCTAGGTCCAATAGGTGATCTTAGATCAATGAGCTTGGGCCTAGCTAAACTGATGATGAGGCTTAAGTGAATCAAGGCCTTAGTGATTGTGCTTAATCTGCAAGCAACCTGGTAGGTGTAATGAGCTGACCCATTACGTGAATTCTATTGTAGGCCCAACTAGAATTAGGCCATGGCTCTGAGCTCTATTGAAGGTGTTTCGTTTTTGGGCCCACTGAGGCCTAGGACATTTTTTGGCCATAATAGTTTGCCCCCTACTCTCTAAGTTAAGAAGTACTTAGCTTAAAGATTAGTTATTACTGTATGAAAGTGTATTCAGTGATCTACCTGTCCAATCGTGCAAGTATCAATGTAGATGTCAACTCTTCAATTCATGGAACTAGGTCTTAAGTAAAATTCCTTCTATGAAGGTGACTCACTCGGTGTGCCAAGCCGAGTGGGTGAGTAGGCATAAACTGGGAATTTGTTCTCGCTCAACGCATCAAATCAAGTGAGAAAACTTGATAAACAGAGACCTCACTTGGTGCATAGAGCTGAAGGAGAGTATGAGGCATATCCAGAAGCATCCTTACTTGATGTATCGAACCAAGTGAAGGCTGTACAGTTCCTTAAAGGTGTGTTCCACTCAATGAATCGAACCGAACCGAGCAAGTAGATGTGAAGAACATACCATGAAGGTGTCCTCACTCTGTGCATCAAACTAAATGAAAAGATGTGAGGAACATCCCATGAAGGTGTCCTCACTTGGTGTATCGAATAGAGTAAGAGGATGTGAGGAACATCCCATGAAGGTGTCCTCACTTGGTGCATCGAACTGAGTGAGAGGATGTGAGGCACATCTTATGAAGGTGTCATCACTTAGTGCATCGATCCAAGTAAAAGGAAAACCAATTTCTTGGAGAAGCGTTCACTTAGTGCCTTGGACCGAGTGGGTAGAAGTGTCAAAATCTTGAAGGATCTTATCCTGGTTTGCAATATCGAGTGAGTCTACTGACTTGAATAAAGGTCAAATTTCTTCCCAATGTAGCCATGCGGTCGGAAAGACCGAGTGGTTGGATGTTAGTGTCTTGCATCATAGGGGGATAACTTCATTCGGTTGGGCAAACCGAACAACAGGCCAACGCCCTTAGGGCTTTTGTAAAACGTGCATGACGTGGCAGCTCTGAACTTTGAGCAGGAAACACAAAATCGAGTAGCTTATCTCGGGACACATGTATGGTTAAGATCTCTTTTCTACGCTTAGGCAGGAAAACGAAGAATTGTGTCGTACGATGACCAATCGGAGGCTAGCATGTGTACCGTCGCCATTAAAATTGAACCCTGTGACTATTCATTACCATTCTACTTCATTTTTTTCTCTTTCTTTGCGTTTCTTCCTCCATTTCTTCATTTTTTTGGGCAACGGTGAGGAGACTTTGATGTTTTTGGGAATGTTCACGGTAAACACTACTTTCTCTTGCTGTTTTTCATTTCTCTTCTGCTTTTGTTTGTGTTTACTGTAGTTTTCAAGGAATTTGGGTGAAGTTTAGCAGATTTTTTGTAAGAGTTTGAAGAGAGAAAAGTGTGAGGTTATTCGGTTTGAACTAGACGTTTCTATGGTGATTTGGTTATTCTGTTTTGGTGTTTAGGAGATTTTGAGCATTTAGGCTTGATTTGGTGTGGTTCATTTTGTGTTTGGAGAGTGAAGTTCTGGGTTTTGAAGCCATTTATGGTGTGTTTTTGGTTGATTTCTAAAGTTTTTGGGTTTTGGAAAGATTGAAGATGAAATCAATTTGCATAGGGCTTCCACTCAGTTCGTCTCAATCTGTTTGACCAAGTCAAGTAAGGTGGTTGATTGAGGGCTGGGGATTGGAGAAGTTTTTTGAATTGGAGTTAAGACGCCTAAGTCACCCGACCTCCCAGACCGAGTGGAGAGTGCAAGTTGAGTTAGTAAGTTTAGGGCATGGTCATTCATCCTGACCAAGTTGAGTGTGTTTAAGACTTGGTAGTAAAACCAACAAGGGCTAATCGCTCGGTAGTTTTGACCGAGCCGAGTGACAAAGTTGTGTTTAGTTGAAAGGTGACGTACCTTAGCCTTGGTGGAGATTTGGTTGGTTGCTTGGGTCGAGTGGAGTAAGGAGTGAATTATTGAACTTTGATGATGTAGTCAGAGTCGGGCGAGTCGAGTGGGGCAGAGATGAAGGTAGGTGATGAGTACGAGCGATCCCTAACAATGGTTGTGATGCCAGAGGGAGATGTACCTGTAGGTATACCAAAGGGGTTGAGCGTAACTGCTCCTAGGCCGAGTGGTGTTGATTGCGATGAAGATAGTTCGGAAGGGCAGAAGACGAGTGAGGAAGAGTCTGATAGTTCTGTAGACTTGCCCTCTACTAGTGGTGGTTCAGAGGACGAGTTGAGTTAGCCCGATAGGGAGATATTTAATGTGGATTATCCACCCTTACTAAAGGAGAATGATGTGTGGAGGATCAAGACATTGTACCATATTCCTGAATTGGTCAAAATAAGGATACCTTAGTCATACGAGAAGGGTCGACTAGGAAGCAAAAGGTTGGGTGAGTGTTTGTGAGAAATGGTTCCATGACGAGCTGAGGCTTCCAATACTTCGGCTCGTTTGAGAGGTGCTGAAAAACTTTACGATCGCACCAACCCAAATCATGCCAAACAGGTGGAGACTACTGATAGCTTTGGAGGTTTTCTATATGTAGAACCAAGAAATGTTTGGGTTGCAAGAGTTGTTATACTCATATTTTTCGAAGGAGTAGGACAAGAATAAGTGTAGATATGTAGTGACCTTAAGGCACGACCGGATCCACCTTGTAACCAACTTACGGTCGAGTGACAAAAATTGAAAGGAGCGCTTCATCTTCTTAAGGGGCAAATCAGTCTTTGGAGAGAGAGGTTGGGGGGAGATCCCTTATACTTGGCGAGCAACCAGTGAGAAACTTATTCTTGACTTGTACTTTAATTACTAAAGTCTTATTACGTTTTTCCTTTGCAGATCCTGATTATAACCGAACTAGTCAGAGTGGAGACGACTTGGACATGTCGACTAGAGAGGTTCTTGCCATACTGAAGGAGCAGAGAGACTGATGAGTGGTATTGGAGGAGGCCAACTTGAGGGTGAGTCACCTGTGGGCCAGTGTCTGGGAGATTCAACGAGGTATCCCCTTCCCTTCGTTGAAGCAAATGTGGGACGTGCTACTCTTTCGTTACTACAATCATATTTTGTTTAGTAAGTCACGGCTGAACCCACTAACTGTTGAGGAATTTACGATTGTAGAAGGACTTATGAAAAAGTTAACTATCCCAAGTACGAGTGAGTCCATCGTAAGGCGTCGCAAGAATAGAAAAAAAGACTATTCATCAAGGGAAGAGAGAAGGGTGGAGGATATGGTCGTGACTCCTCCCAACTAGCCGATTGTGACTGAGGTTGGGTCGTCTAAGGCGGTAGTCTTGGACGAGGAGAGTGAAATGTTAACCTTCAGTGTCCCCGTTTCAGGGTTGACATATTATGATACGACTTTTATAAGCAAGTTTACTTATTCATTCTTGTTTCCTATGGATGAAGTCGGTTGAGTCATATGGGGTTGGCCTCAACTGTTGATTGGGGGTTTCTCGCGCCTTTCATGTATGAATCGGGTTTTTATTTGACTGTATTTGCTGTGTGACTTAACACTGATTGAGTGATTTTGTGTAGGCTTTCATAAGCAGTTTGCATAGTCTGCCATGGCACAGGAGAAGAAGATACAAGAAATCTCTAAGTCCAATACCAACCTGCAAATGAGAAAGGCGATAGCCCAAAAGGCCGAGAGGGAGAGCAAG